TCTAGCGTAGGAGACTTGAGGAGTTCAGGAAGAATTTAATTGTGATTGAGAAAGTTAACTGAGCCTTTGTGGCTTGTGCTCCAGTTATTGCTCTTCCTGTAATAAGAATAAACTATTTTTGATCACTGTGAGGAGGGTGATGTGTGAACATCATTTTAAGATCAGTCGCATGTCTCTGTTGAATCACAATCTCTGACAGCCTCTCTGGGTCTGAACAGAGACATTCTCGGCTGTCTGATTGCAGCCGTCTTATCGAGGTCCCTGCCGCAATTTTTCGGTATCCCCTACTTCTAAATCTTACCTGGGTAGGAAATTTAGAAGGCAGTATCGCTGAGGAGTTCTATACCTCTGCGTTGTAGTGTTCTTGGAGTCAAGTAGGTAACGACAATATCACTTCTCATTTTCCAACTTCCTCTCAAGTCAAGCCTCAAGTTTCAGTACTGCCGATTTGTATAATGTGCTTATATACAACGCTGGCTGGACATCACAGACTGGAGTTGTGGTGGTATCAGCATTCCCTTGGACAACCAGTGCTTGACCTGGTCAGGCACTGCTTCGTGGCTACTTCGGAACCAGTAGAACTGGGTACGATGGAAATTTCAGGATTCTTGATAAGCAGGCTGCCAGTGATCCAAGTGGAATCTACTGGAGGCCATTCATATTCCCTCTCTTGCTGCCACTAGCAAGATAGATACATTTCTGCATTGAGATCGATAGGCAGTGACGATTGTCTTGACTTCTCACTTTACAACTTACTAGTTACTGCACAAGCAGCTCAATACACTTGGCTACGAGTTTCCAGCAGGATCGCCAACTGCCTTGCCCTGTGTTTCCTGAACTGCTTCAACTTCCGGAAAACAGTACATGGAGATGGCATTGCGAAACGACGCAACAAGAGCAAGAATCCCGACAAGCAGCTTCGCAAACACTCGTACAAGGTGACCCCCACTGCCGAGAGAATGGTGGCACCCAAGAAAAACGCAGACGGCCACACTTCATCATATTCATTCAGCAGCTCATCGGTAGTGGATGACCAAGGCCGTCGAGTCACGACCGACCGCCGTCGCTATGAGGACTCAACTGGCCGATTGAAAGCCGTGCAAGAACGGGAGATCGACGGTAAGAAGATGCGCACGACTTGGAGCCGCCGGAATAAGGAGGACGAGGGTAGGAATGAATCGATCTGCTCAAGTGGCAGTCCAGAGGAGTTTGAGGCACTATGGCAGCAGACTCCATTTGGCGAGGCACAGAAGATGAAGGTGAAGGGGGAATTGTAGTCCGAGTCGGATGTTTGAGAGTGAGGTGGCGTCAACGGCAGCAGCACTGGAGCATGCCACAATGGAGGAAGCAGTAGAAATATCGAAATCGTCGGTGACGAAGGAGAAAAATGCATGCACGGACAAAGATGAACCAGAATGAAGGAGAATGAAGAGGATTTGTAGAGAAGTTAGCGATAATTTGTAAGTTCGAATATTGATTGGGTAAGTGTTTTCCAAGCCATCGTTCCGTCTATTGTTTGTCGACCATCAAATATTAATACTATTGCTGTGATTGAGTTGGGGTCTAAATTTATGTTTTCGTTATTTTGGGATTAAGAGTCCTTGTTGTTCCACCGTTTCCATTCTTCTTTAAAAGTGAACAGATCAAACATAATGAGGTCACATTCCGTCAGAGATTCTTCTTCATTCGACAAACACCCAGTTGGAATTACGATGGCATCGGCAGGGAAAGCAAAGAAGCGTGTATTCACGCCATCGAACCAGGTGAAGAAAAAGAACAACAAACGTTTATCCAGCCTACCCGATGTCTCTGTTCCGAGTGATTCTAGTACTGGGTGTTTTAGCCTCATTTTGGAGGTGGGAGCTGCTTCCATCTGGGAGTTTATATCTTCAGAAGATATTAATACTCTTCTTCAGACATTCGCTGGTGCTTTCTCGAATGATCTCGTTGGCAAGGTAAAAGCGATACAATTATTCACCGTGGAAAACAAGACCCACTTGGGCGGCAATGTGAGTGTGATAGGATGCGTAGACTCGATTTCGTCCCTTGTTCGGACGATAAGTGCATTGATAAGTCACCCTATATCTTGGATAAGAGTTTGCCGATTCTCCAAGTTCCAAGGGGACCACTAGCTCTTTTAAGCGCGCTGATGCTGACTAAGAAACTGAAGGAGTGTCTTTGTCCGAACCGTTCAGGAGCTGCCACGTTTGTTCCAGTTGTCTGCCCGCTTGTGACGAGAAGCTCAGTCTATTAACATGCACGGACGACATGGTGAAGCAAGTGATGAACCGAATTTTCCACGGTTCTGGATCACGCTACTTCCAAACATTTGAGAGGAAGAGGGGTGCAGCT